TGTATGTTATTATTGATCAATTAACAAGTATGGTATTGTCATCAATAAAAGGTTTACCAATAGAATGTATAAGAACTTTTAATTCACATCAAGGTCCCGTACATATAGCCAGATATAATACCGGTGGTGAATACATTTTAAGTGGTGGGCAAGATAGGACCATTCGTCTATGGAACCCTGATTCTGGTTTAAATATTAAAACATATACTGGTCATGGCAAAGAAGTTTTAGACCTATCCGTGTAAGTAGTATAATGGAAGAAAATGAGTTGTGATAAAGAATACTTATTGAAAAACATCGAATAGGACGCAAGATAATTCTCGATTCGCGTCATGTGGTGGTGATAGACAAATTTATTATTGGGATGTTTCAACCGGGACTACTGTTCGTCGATTTGAAGGTCACAACCAGGTATTATTTCAATGAAAGGTTTTTCATTACATGAACTTTCTTAAAATGATTAACTTCGCGTTAAATTCTAGCGAGTAAATGCAGTTTCGTTTAATTGGGAAGGAACGGTCTTGGCGAGTGGTAAGGTTGATTTGATTTCTTATAATCGAATGAATATTCTTGATTTTTTTTTTTTTTTTTCTTCCTTAAAGGTTCATATGATACGACAATAAGATTATGGGATTGCAGGTAAAATACATCATCTATCATTTTTTAAAATCCTTTCCACTCATCCAATTCTTGCAATTGATAGATCACATGCTCGTACCCCAATACAAATTCTAGAAGAACCCAAAGATAGTATAACTTCATTACATGTGATTCAATATGAAATTGTTTCCGGAAGCGCTGATGGTTGCATACGTACTCATGATATTAGAAAGGGGGCTCTTATAACTGACTTGATTTCGCGTAAGTTAAAAAATGATTTATTATTCCTTTGCAAACCGTATTAAAAGATACTTATTGTCATGAAAAAAAAGATCCTGTTACTTCAGTTCGTGTATCAGGAGATAATAATTGTATCCTTGCTAGTTCCCTTGACAATTCTATTAGATTAATGGATCGGGCAAATGGGGGCCTTTTAAATGAGTAAGCAAATTTGACTCCTTGATTTCTCAATCCATTTGACATGGTTCATTAAATTTTATTTCTTATAGGTTTAAGGGTCATAAAAATGCTTCATACAAAATTCATTCTTGTTTGTCAAATAATGATGCTCATGTGATAAGTGGATCAGAAGATGGAAAAATTTACATTTGGGACTTATTAGAAGTAAAATAAACTTTTTTTTTTTTCATCATCACTTTTTTTTTTTAAAAAAAAAATTAATACGTATTTCTTTTTTAGGGAAATCTTTTAACTTCGTTCAAAGCTCATTCCAACGTTGTTACATGTGTTACATTTCATCCTAGATACGATTATATGATATCTACTAGTGTGGATGGAACTGCAAAATATTGGAAACCACAAACTACTTAATGTTACTGTCAAAGCCAAATTGTATTTTAATAAATAATCCACTCATTGAGATGATTGGTTGTTAAATTAAAGAGGAATGAATCATCGTTTGATAATTATAATGAACCAATTGCTTTTCTTTTTTGGGGAAATTGTTAGATAACAGAATTTTTTTTTTTTTTTTTAAATACACGAGAAAATGAAAAAAGGAAATAATGCGAATAAACTATGTGAACTTGAAAAAAAAAAGATGCATTATTATTTTTTAAAATTATCGTCTCGGTGTTATTCTTCATCCTCTTCTTCACTCTCGCTTTCGACTGTCTTAAGCCAATTAACAAAAGGTTCCATTTGTTTTAAAAATATGCCCTTGCATTGAGATTTGGCTCCCTTTTCATACCAATAAAATATTGCCGTCTCAGATACAACATCTTCTTCATACAAAATTTTTACAATTAAACGGAAATGTTTCATCAATTTTGTGTCTTCGTGACAATAAACTTGAATTTTTTGCAAAAGTGCAAGTTCTGATTTGGGATTAGAGGCAAATGCAGCGAGAATTTTAGCATTTTTCTATTAAAAAAAAAAACATATAAATGAAATCAAGTTAAGTATTGCCATATATCATAAGTTAAATATGCAACAAAAATACATAAACGAATAGCCTTACTTTAACTTGACGCGAGGCTTGATTTTCAATCATTTCTGGGCGAGTACTCCAATCAACAGCTCGCATTAATGCATCCCAGACAATTTGAACAAAATCACTTTCCTGCCAATTACCTTCCTTAATGCGTTGTTTAAGATAAGAAACAACCTATAATAATAAATGTAACAAAAAATTTATTTTACTAAATGGGCTTGCCAACAAAGGGAATAACAAAATTAATATGATTAAATACTTCTTGTGTATTGTTGTCGTCTTGCAACATATCCTTAGCATGTTCAATCGTTTGTTCTCTCATCGAATTTTTTTGTTTTTGACTATGATATTCAACGAGCTGTTTCATCTCCTCCGCTTCAAAATAACGAGCAAAGTACTCTTCGTCTCGTTTATTTGGAGGAAAGAATTCCAAAAGCTTGTTGTCTATTCCTGCCTTTTTAAGAGAACTACCTAGGTGATCAATATTCTGTTCACCAAGGAAAGCCTTGAATGCAGCAGTGACAAATTGGAGTGAGAGGCCTTCTTTGACAAGATGTTCTTTGAACAAAACTGTCAAAACGTTAATGCTAGTCATTTGACCAGAAGCAAACAAGCCAATTGCAGTGGCAAGTTTATTATTTTCCTCGGTGCTCCATTTGTTAATATAT